GGGACTGAACATTTAATTTGCAAATTGGAACAGAACAAAAACCTCTTCAACATGCAGAGTTCTAAGTTTAATGAATTCATGTGAGCATTAAGATCTTACTGTAAAAGATCACAGATTAGGAGCATTTTTACTTTCTCTGCAAAATAATTCGGACTTTCTAGGAAAACTAGTTCTCAAGATGGTGTTTTAGCCTTAAGCTTGCTAAATGCCTTTGTGCCAAGCTTTCAAGCACTTCATTTGACATTTAGAGCAGACTTTTTTTAATGACTCTCTAGTATACAAATTTATTTAGGTAGCAACACCTTTAAAATAAAAAAAGAAAGAATATAAGAGTTGAATAAGAAGCTCTCTTGTTCTACTGTATTATGAGACACCGAAAAATATTAAGACAGATTAACAACAAAAGATACCCTATGTCCACATTTTAGGCATAACCATATTGAAGGGCCTTCAGTCTCCTCCTCAGACTTCTCTTGTGTCTTATTGTCTGCCTTGCAGTCCTGACAAACGTGCCATTCCACGTTCAGCAGTGCCTTTTTCAGATGACTTTGTTCCAGTCCTTTACGAATGTGCTTGCACGTGGGTTCTACAAAATAAAAAGCACAAGAAGGATGTTGGTATCATAACAAATGCACATGTTAAGGACACAGGCAGCAATCCAGAAGCTAGGACAGTCTTTCTAGAGTCAAAGAAACATTGACAATTTATCAGATGTATTAGAAAGAAACCCTTTATTACCTGCACTCAGAATCCAGGGATACTGTTGGTGCTTCCCAAACTATTGTATTGCTAAAAGTATCCCTCACAGCTACATCTAGTTGGAGGAGTTGACAGAACTTTTGGATACACACTCGCCTACTATGTCAGGCTTTCATTATTGTGGCGTTATGATTCCCAAATCTCCCACGGAGCAGCCACAGCCCACTGCCACAGCTTCCCATCACCAAGGCTGCACCTGCCTGTCTTAGAGAAGTGGAGATTACGGAGGTTCTGCTTCCAGCTGAGCTGTCCCGGTGAAATTATGCAGCAGATTATGGTAATAAAAAGAATGGCAGTCATAGTTCCTGTGCTGTTATCACTTTGCACCGCGATACTACAGCCCAGCTGCACCTTCTGGGCCTGGTGTGAACTCCATCTATTTAACCAAACCTAGCTAAGAACGATTACACCAAGAACAGGCATCTGTTGCTAAGAGCCACTTTCAGGACTTTAGCTGTCTTATTTCTCCTTGTTTAATTTTTCAAGTTGTTGGTTACATTTCTGCAAAACAAGTATTGACAAGAATTATACTGCTGTTTGCATAATTAAGCTGTCTTAAGTCCTTTACCTGAGGTGTTTTTTATTGCTCAGATAGTGTAACAGCTCTGAATCCACCTTTGTTGAGGGTCACATGCAAGATTACAGCATCAAGACAGCAGACTTCTCTTGGCATAAGCTGAAACTGGTGCAAATTTTGGACCTACAGTTCTGTTCCTGTCCAAGATTACAGGATTTTGGCACAGTGCAAATGCTAGCCAACAAGAGACAATTACAGATATTTAGATGTATTCTTTAAGCCTTTTTAAAAAACACAAGCTTCATCTACAACTTCAAAAATGTCTTTTTAAAAAGAAACACAAAACTTCTGTGTTTTGCCAACTACTATTATAGTTGAATTATTCATAATAAGTCTTAGTTTCATTTATGGCTTTATAGAACTTTGTCATGGTAAAATAACCTATTTATAGCCAAAGAGGTGAAATGCCATCAGCAATGACACCATAACTGTTCTCTCTGCTGGAGTTACAGCAGACATGGATCCAGACTCCAAGAAACAAACAAACAAAAAAAACCAAACCCCCAAACACCCCACAGAACCCCAAAACCCCTGACAACCAAACCAGACAAAAGCAGCTAAAAAAGCTACCTGTTAGAGACAGAAGCTACCCAAAGAAGACCAGGACACTGAGGAATACAAAGTACAGTAGACTTGAATTTAATCAGGCCATCACACCAAGCCTCCTGGCTAAAATTGTAAGTGCATTGTCTCAAAGATAAATTAGACTGGCTCAGTTCACTTCCCCAGTCGGGATCAGCGAACCAGATGAGCAAGACACAATCTGTGACCTGGTAGACAAGGTGGCAGAAGAGAATGCTACACAGCACAAGGAAAAACAAAACCTACAGTAACCAGGGTAAACAAGATAAACAAATTAAATTTCAACACAGGGGTAAGAACAAGTAGAGCTAGAATAAAATTTACTATGTGGGATTAGGAACTATTAGGAACAGGAGGAGAGGAAGAAGAAGAGGTTTTAACCAAAATACACTATGACCAAAAGCTGAGGTGTCCAGGGTCAGTACTAAATTAGCTGCTAGAATGAAGATAAACTATTTCACAGAAAATATTTTAATCACAGCCCTTACTGCTAAAGCAAGTACCTTCTGTAACAAAATTTTCATTAAGAAAATGCTACTGAAGCCTTAAGCTTAACAGCTGACCCTACAAACCCTTTATATTTTGAGGAATTTTATACAATCTGTGTATCAGTAAAGAACTATAAGTCTGACTTTTCTAAAAGCCAGAAAATAATCTCAGTTTTCAAGACGGGATTATTATTTTCTAGCATACTTAGAAAAGTAGCAACAAGTTTCTTCTTGAACTTCAGTTTTAATTTAAAAATTCCACCTTTTATAAATGAGACTTCAAAGACAGTGACTAATGTAGAGGCCTTCTAATATTAATCAGCTTTCAAGCCCTCTTTGAGGTTAAAACAAACATTAGGTTCACAGACTTCTCTCAGGAAACATACTCAGTATATCTGGAGACTCATCAAATTGTGCAGTTTTGCCTTTGATGCGTTTCTTTCCCATATTTGTAGTCTGTAATTGTTCTTAAAAGGAAGAGTGACCTACGAAAGAAAACACAGTAAAATTAGAAGGCTGCTTCGGCTTTACTTCTTCATTGCTACACAAGTTATTTCTACGGCTAAGCTATCCCTTGAAGTGAATTAACTTGCCTTAATTTGACATTTTCAAAAGAAGAGCAATTATATTTTAAAATGAAACAATTTTAACTGTTGTATAGACAAGATGACAGTGTGAATAACAAAACCCAAATGATTTAAAATCTCAAGTCAAAAGCATTGCACCAAACAAGATTGGAAATTTTAGTATCAAAAATACTATGACCTGTTAGGATTTGTACTCTAACTAATAATACAGGGATTCTAAGAAAAGGAGTTGGTTTTGTCACAGTTGAAGTTATTTGCAACTACAGTCTTTCTGCTTTGTTTATTGCAAATTCCTTGTGTCCTTGAAGTAGTCTGACACATGCAAATACTGTAATATAATTGAAAATACACAGACAACTGGAGTTCTAATTTTTTAATTTCTTCACTGGGAAAGATTTATCCCCACACATCAAGTAAATAATTCAGATGGGTCTGTTATTTGCTATGCCTGTAGACTCTTCTTGACAAGAGTGATCTACCCCTAAGGAACCTGAACCAAATGCTTGGCTTCAAAAAGGTGGCTACTGCCCATATGGTAGGACATTTTTAGTTTCTAGTCTGTAGCCCCCGTACTAAAGATCAGCCAAAAAGCTCAGGTAAACTTAAAACGTGACATATTCTAAACGATGAAAACAAGGAAGGTGAGAGGGTTCCAAATCAAGTCTCTGCAGTCTTTGCAGGCCAGCCTAACCCTCCTGTCCACCCGTCACATGAACACAGTCAGCACTAAATCTGACCTGTATCAGCCGTCCTTTCAAACCTATTTCTTAGCTCGTACTCAGCAGCACTCCGGGACAGAGAGAAGCTGCCTGCTCGCAGTCATCACAGCCAAATAATTAAGGCACACCAAGAGAATCAGAGAGAAACAAGGTGGGGAAGACCTTAGGTATGATACTCACACACGACTTTTTGTATGAAAAGCCTTTTACAAACATGTTTGCATGAGCATGTGTACATGAGCATGCTCTTAGGGCAGATGACCCAGTTGCTGATGGAAGCCTGACAGACATTAAGGGCAGAATTATCAACTTTTGCAACTTAGCATTCAATTAGTTCATAAAAAGAAATGCCAGTTCATCCAACAACCCTTCCCTAGAGCACATTTTTCAGCAAAAAATACAATATGTACCTTATACGAATAACTTTTTAAAGTCCTTTCCAAACTGTCCTTGCTCCTGGCAGGAAGGTAGGACAGCATGAACACGAGTAGCTATTAATTTAACCTACGCTGTGCCTGGGCAGACTTCTCGGACAGGTTCTGCACTAGCCTTTCCAGGGCACAGTCCTCACCAGGAAATGCGCTGCACTGCCCCAACAACCGATGCATTTCGTCTTTTTTGAGATAAGATAGAGCGGTCTGCAAACGCGCACCTGCGCTTGACATCCCGGAAAGAACGCCCTCAGAGGCTCACCTGGGAGCCACTGGGGCAGGGCGGGGAGCAGGCCGGGCTCCTACGGCTCTGTCGGGCTCCTGCTGCCAGCCGACAGCCCGGTCCCGACGGCAGCAGGGACGGCCCATCACGACGGGGAGCGGGTGTGCCCCGCGGCTGGGCATTCACCTGGGCACTCGCTGGGGGCTCAGGGGGCACTTGGTACTCAAGTGGGCACTCGGCACTCGGGTGGGTGCTCAGGCGGTCGCCCTGCCCTGCCCTGCCCGTCCCGTCCCTCGCCCCCACGCCACGCGCACGCCACCCCCATGCCACGCGCACGCCGCGCGACACCGCCCTGCCCCGCCCCGCCCGCTCCCCATTGGCCCGCGCCCGCCTCCCGCGCCATGACTGACAGGCGCCGCAGCCAATCGGGAGCGCCGCGTGCCCCGGCCGGAGCGGCGGCTCCACAGCGAGCCCCGCGCCGGGAGGAGGAGAAGAGAGGCGGCGGCGGCAGCAGCGCGGTGGCGGCTCCGCGGGGCTCCCGTCCCTCACCTGCCGGTGCCGCGGGACGGACAGCTCGGTGGCGCATGGCTCCGTCCCGGGGCACACGGCAAGCTCACCTCATCCCCCGGCGGCGGGGCAGCGGTCACCGGCGGCCATGGGCGCTTCCGGCGCGCTGCATTGTGGGGCCGTGACGAGGATGGGAGCGGGACGTGTCCGCGCATGCGCGATCGCCACCGCTCTGAGCTCCTTCCTGGTGTTGGTGAGGGCCAGGCGAGGAGAGCGGGATCGGGACAGGGACGGGGACGGGGACTGGGACAGGGACGGGGACTGGGACAGGGACAGTGACAGGACTTGAGGGAACAGCATGAAGCTGTGTCAGGGGAGGTTTCGGTTGTATGTGAGGAAAAGGTTTTTCTCCCAGAAGGTGGTGGGGCACCGGGACAGGCTGCCCAGGGTGGTGGTTGTGGCACCAAGCCTGACAGAGTTCAAGAAGTGTTTGAACAATGTTTCCAGGCACATGGTGTGATTCTTGCGGGTGTCCTGTGCAGGGCTAAGGGTCGGACTCCATACCCTTGGTGAGTCCCTTCTAACTTACAATATTCTGTCATTCTGTAATATGATTTACATAGGGATAGTTAATGAAATTTGTCCCATATCCAAGCTGTATTTTTCTTCCCTAAATTTTTTCTTTGCTCAGGGAACAACAGAAATGACTAACCAGGAAGAAGCGGAGATGCAGGTTTCAGAGTTAGAGTTACTGTCTAGCATGTTTCCATATGAGGAGGAGTTTGCTGTGACAGACCAGCTGGCTCTAGCTGAACTGAAACACTATGCTGAAAATGAGTCTGCAGAGGTGCCGTCTTCGAAAGTTCAGTTTATACTGAATGTAAAGGCTGAGGTCCCTAATGCCTCTGTGGTACTGTAAACACTTTATTCTATTTTGCTTTTTTTTTTTTTTTTTTTTTTTTTTTTTTTTTTTTTTTTTTTTTTTTTTTTTTTTTTTTTTTTTTTTTTTTTTTTTTTTTTTTTTTTTTTTTTTTTTTTTTTTTTTTTTTTTTGGAGGGATTTTAGGGATTACTTGAACTAAGCATTTGCTCCTTGGTTTTTAGGTGGAATTCTCTATGGCCTGTGCTTTACCATTTAAATATCCGACTGTTCCACCAGAAATTACTGTGAGGTATGGCAGCTAATAAAAGCATTTAAAAGTTACAGTGTGTTACACAAATGCAGTTACAATAATAGAAAGCAGCTTTTTTTTTTTTTTTTTTTTTTTTTTTTTTTTTTTTTTTTTTTTTTTTATGGTTTACTGCCAGATTAGGCTGGGTGGACAAGTGTTGAAGAAAATCAAATCTTGCAAGGTTATGATTTCTCTGGTGTACTCAGCAAAAAAAGAAAAAAAAAAAGGGAAAAAGTGTGTAGGAGTGCCATCATCTGTACAGAAAGGTTACTGTAGATACTATCCATAGGTGTGATGCTCAAGAACAGAGACCGTTGCCCATTTTGGTAAAGCTTAACATTAACTAAAGGAATGAGTAGTCAGTGGCCTTATTTTTCCCTTGTCACAACTGGTGATTGGTCAGAGGTTGGGCTCGATGATCTTAGAGGTCTTTTCCAACCTTAACGATTCGATGATTCTGTGATTCTAAAAACGTGCTAAATTGTCAGCACGCGGTAACTGCATTTATACTTCCCTTTAGGTCGCCGTTATTGAGCCGCTCTCAACAGATTCACCTGAACTCTGATCTAAAAACATACTTGATGCAAAACTGCAGTGGTGAGCCCTGCATGCTGAGTGCAAGGCAGTGGGTTAAAGACTACGCAGCTGCTTACATTGACAAAGAGCTTTCGTCTTCCTCTGTGACAGCTGCAGGTGCCGTGCAGGCAGAAGTCACCACCTTCACTCGGTTGTGGATCTATAGTCATCACATCTACAACAAGCAAAAAAGGAAGAATATTATTGACTGGGCCAAGGAGCTTTCTCTTTCAGGATTTTGCATGCCAGGGAAACCAGGTGTCGTTTGCGTAGAAGGTTTACAAAGTAGTTGTGAAGAATTCTGGTCGAGGTTAGTTTTTCTTTGTACTTAAATTAGTAGTTAGAATAGTACATTTTCTTATGTTGTACATGTGGCCAGAAGTTGGGAAATCCAATCACCTTCCAGGATTAAAGATCTGCCAAGTACTGTATTTATAATAATGTATTTACAACTCTGAATACCCCCTGTTGGTTGCAGCAGTCAAAGCAATCATGGTGCACATTTATTTCTGTTTTATTTTCCTCTGTGTGTCACTTTTCTAGGGATGGGCAGCAGTACCCCAGTTGTGTTAGATATGTGTGCTCTTACATCACTTAACATTTGCATTTTATTCTGCTCCCATCGTTTATACTTCTGAGTGGGGGAGACTAAATGAACATAGTAATTTGATTATAAAATCTAAGAGAGTATGAGAATGCTTAGCATGGGGAAGGCAGAAATAAGCACTGAAATGGAAACTACATCTTCATTTGTGAGGAATAACATTAAGGTTTTGGAATCCTGAGGAGATATAAAAAAACCCAAGCTCCTCCTTACGAGAGTGTTTGCATGTGAGCAGTATTTCTATGACTAGCCCATGAACCATTATCTCTGTCTCTTTCTCTCTATTTATATGTAAACAGAATTTGTTGACTTTTGTAATAATAGTTATTCCATAGTGTTTCCTAAAGCAGTCTTTATTTTATAGATAGATTAGTATTTCTCCGATTACTTTCAGAGTAAGAAGACTAACGTGGAAAAGAATTCTCATTCGGCACAGAGAAGATGTTTCTTTGGAAGGTGGAGGACATGCTGAGATTCAGAGCCAACGGAAGTTTTCCACTTTGGAAGAGAAATGTTTTGATGCACATGGTGCCAGGGGAAATCATATGGATTTGGGGCAACTATATCATTTTTTAGAAGAAAAAGGATGTGCTGACATTTTTCAAATGTACTTTGGGGTTGAAGGACATTGAAGGGTTTGAAGATCAGCACAGGCCCCAGCAGTTATGATTGGAATTTAATCCTCATGACAGCTTCCTTAACTGTTCTGCAACAGTTGATCAGAGAGGGAATTAATAATTCAAGATTTACGTGATTAATACAGTTTTCAATGAAAACAAATATCCAGTGAAATCCCGAATAATGAAAATGACTATATGAATACGTTGTTACTCTAGCAGGTAAAGGCGCTGCACTGTCACTGCAGAGACCTGGGTCCGATTCCCGGTCGGGGCCACTCCCCGGGCAGATGGAGCTCATTAGCCCTGTAAGGCAATCCATCTACATCCTGAGGACTTCGCTGCCACCGTCCAAGCTCGCTTGGCCCCGGCAGATGAACCTTAGGATTAAAGGGTGGGCTCAGTTCCGCGCACACTGTGTCTCACCTAAAAAATCCAATGCGCAGGCTGGAAGGTGTAAAGACCTTCCTCGGTTCTTCGTTCGCGAAGACTGGCCATTAATTTACTTTCTGGTTTTAAGGAGATTTAGGGTACGTACCTAATTACAATTAAAAAAATATGTGTTTGATAACCAACTGGGCAGTTACAGAATTACAGATGAATGAATAGACGGAATATAGGGAATGAATATAGGAATAAGAAGTTACAACAATGCACTGTGGATATCTCAGGAGAGGGAACATGTTTACATTAATTTCTACTGTTTACATACTCTTTATGAAGACTTTTTTGTAACAATATTCTACTTTCTACATGAAAATTTATTAAGCCATGACATCAATATTTTATTTAAAAACAACAAAAGGAGGGAGCAAATTTGCAAGAGTCTTGCACATGCTAAGAGGCTGACCTAGGATGCCTACTTTAGGGCATACAAGTTTTTTGTAAGTATAAGTGTGTATGGAGGTAAGAGAGAGACCATGGTGGCATCTCTACATCTGCAGCTGAAGAGTTTATTTTTATTTGTGTAAAAGCACCAGTTAATCAAAGATGGGCTCCCTTACAGCGCACTCCAAAACTGTGAAATGATCCTCAGCCTTCTGAGTTCACAAGTTTTCATTTCTGTAACATGAAGTACCTTATGCTGCGTGTGTTGAGTCCAGTTTCAACAACGTTGTACCAAGGAATCCTAATTTTATGGATATTGCATCTAAATCCCATGTTTGAAAAAGCACAGAATGGTCGCTTTGGATTAAATATTTTTAATAAATGAAGTATCGATTAAATATTTCCGTACAGCTCCAGTAAAATTGCTAACATTGAGCTCTCCAGTATGAGCTCGGGATACCTTTTGTAGCGATACTTCGGACTGACGTCATTCGGCTTTGCCTCTGGATGGAACTCCCAAATCCAGAGTCCCTTTGAATGCTCAAGAGGGCCGCAGCTCCGTAAAGGCTCCGCGGGACGCTCGGAGTCTCCGCGCGCTAGGATCGGTGGATTTTTGTCCGTCCCGGGGATTTTTGGAGAGCCGGGGTGGCCCTAGCAGCCCCGGCCCCGCCCCGGAAGTGCCGGCCCGTCCCTGTGGGTGCCGGCCCGTCCCGATCCCGGTCCCGGTGCCGGTCCCGGTGCCGCCGCCATGGGGGGCAAGAACAAGCAGCGAACCAAGGGCAACCTGCGGGTGAGCGCGGCCCGGGGGAACGGGGCCCCGCCAGCCCCAGAGCGCTCCCTCCGCGAGGCCGGGAAGGGCGGTGCGGCCCGAGCCGCCGGGGCCTCGGGTGCCCCGGGCGGGGCCGTGGGCCGGCGGGCCCAGCTCCGGAGGGGAAGCGGCGCGGTCGTGGGGTCCGGTGGGGGTGGCCGGGGCCGCGGCCACCTCTGGGACTGGGGCGTGCTTGCTTAGGGGTGTGTGACTGCTGCTGCCGTGGTGGTTGTACGGGGAGGGGCGGCGGTAGGGGGGCCGTAACTACAAAATCACCGCGGGTCTAAGTTCAGCAAAGTTCAGTATAGTTTTCTGTGCATAGCCTTAGAATTCGCCTGTTTTGATGTCTCCGTCTTGCCACCAGGCCGGTGGTGGTGTACAGTCTGTCCCATGTGGCCCTCACTCAGGATGGATGTGAAACCCTGAGTTCAGGTTCTGTAATTCCTCCGTGGATTTAGGGTAGACTGGGGAACACAGTGCAGCATGTCCTTAATAATTGAGGGATCACATTCAGAAAAGATTACCTAAACCCCACAAACTCACAAAACTGCAACTGTCGTTAGGAAATAAAAGGTGTTTGGAATACAAGGTGTCACAGAGAACATCAGAGCGTCAGTCGATTTTGGGGCAGTCTTTCCAAAGGCGTCTGGTTGAAATAAACATGAGCCAGTGGGAAGGCGAGCAACTGGGGCAAACAAGAAGAGATGCTAAATTCCAATACGCACACTGTAATACTAACTGCTATTATACTGTGTTACATATGCACTCTTGCTCCATTCCTCTATATCCTTCTTGGCCACTTTGTTGCTGGGAGAATGTTGTGTGTATCTGTTCTTATTTTTCCCAGTGATACAAATAGCATTCCCTGGGAGCCATATTAGCCCATGAGAAGAACTAGGAAGAACAGAAGTATTGAAGGAGGATAAAGAGTTTCTTAATAAATTGTTTGCTTACAGAAGGACTTTCTTGATATGCTTTTTTGTGCGTGTATAAATCCAATAAAACCTTCCATAAGTATTTATGAATTATGAGAAAAGGGAATGCTGATTCATAGAATCAGAGAATAGAATCGCAGAATGGCTTGGGTTGGAAGGGATCTTAAGCCCATCTAGTTCCAACTGTCTGCCCTGAGCGGGATACCTTCCACTAGATCAGGTTTCTCAGAGCTCCATCCAACCTGGCCCTTGAACACTTCCAGGGATGGAGCATGCACAGTTCCTCTGGGCAACCTGTGCCAGCTCCTGACTACCCTCAGAGGGAAGAATTTCTTCCTCGTATCTCATTTAAACCTACTCTTGGTTTGAAGCCATTCTCTCTTGTCCTATTACTGTAGTTCCTGATGAAGAGTCCCTCTCTGGCTTCCATGTAGGCTCCCTTCAGATAGTGAAAGTCTCCCCAGAGACTTCTTTTCCCAGTCTCATTTCCCAGCCGGAGAGCCCCAACTTTCTCAGCTTGATTGTAAAGCGAAGAATGATTTTCTAGGTCAAAGCACAGGTGGCCTTTTGTTTGTGAGACTTTGTTTTAATTAGAAGGTTAACTACACAATATAAATAGGATCATCATTTCGAATGCATGATGTGTGCAAAATAAATTTAAATACATAATTGACTTCAGTTCCTGTTTCTTGTCAGCCTTCTAGCAGCGGCCGGGCTGCAGAGCTCCTTGCCAAAGAACGTGGAACAGTGCCTGGGTTTATTGGCTTTGGAACATCTCAGAGTGATCTAGGATATGTTCCTGCAATTCAAGGAGCAGAGGAAATAGACAGCCTTGTGGATGCTGATTTCCGAATGGTGTTGCGAAAACTTTCTAAAAGGGACATCACAACAAAATTAAAAGTAAGCGTATCCTTTGTCTCCCACAAATTTTTTTTTATTGGAAAACAATACACTTTTCCTAAGGATGGGAGAGGAATATGTGAACATAACTAATATTAATTTCATCTTAGTAGATTTGCTAGAATTGCAGTCCAGAAGATATCTTGGTTAACAACCTCTAGGAAGGTCCTTTGTGCAGTTATCTCCGTAAATGCTCAATTGCGAGAAAGGAATTGATTTTTTAAAAAGGGAGTTGCAGTTTCAGATATAAGCTGGTAAATTACAGAACATATCTATCTGACTATTCTCTTGGTATTTTGATTTTAGGCTATGCAAGAGTTTGGGACAATGTGCAAGGAAAGAGAGGCGGAGGTTGTTAAAGGTGTTCTTCCTTACTGGCCAAGAATTTATTGTAAAATTTCACTAGTAAGTATTGAAGTATTTAAATTAGAAACTTCTCTGTATACTTACTCTTTCTGGAACAACCTCCAAGGTGGTCTTTATTAACGTATCTACCTCTGTTGGAATTACTGACTAGTTCTAGGAAAAACATGAGGGAAATTATTGTTCTTTATTGTGGAGATATTTCAGTATTGGCAGTGCGTGGAATCTTGAACTTTTGGGTGTCAGGCTTTACTTGCTCGAGAGATACCTGTTTGTTAGGTCTTTATGTTTAAAAGATGGTAGGATATTTCTTAGGAAAAGTTCTTTTATGTACATTCTGGAATGGCTAAGGAGACTGTTCAGTTAACATAATTATAAATCTTTTTGACCTGGGACTAATATCTGACCAGACTTAATATTAAAAAAAAACCCCAAATCAAACCCAGACATGAAAGGCCATGTGTAGCCAGATAATAAGTATTTTTTTGATATATTTAATACATTTTAAACTCTCTGGACTGGCTGTTGTTGGGAATATGCTATGGGACAGAATGGATCACTATTCTTATCAGTTAGAGCAATTCCTAGTATTTCTTTCAGGAGCCAAGATACATTTCTTAAACCAACAAGCATTTATCTTTCCTTCATTTTTTATTCTGACAGGATCATGATCGCCGTGTTCGAGAAGCAACTCAGCAATCTTTTGAGCAACTGATTCTTAAAGTAAAAAAACACTTAGCTCCTTACTTAAAAAGTATCATGGGATACTGGCTGATTGCTCAGTGTGACACTTACTCTCCTGCTGCCTCTGCTGCAAAAGTAGCTTTTGAAAAAGCTTTTCCTTCAAGCAAACAACCTGAAGCCTTAGTGTTTTGTAAAGATGAAATTCTTAATGTGAGTTTATACTTTTGCATTTCTTCAAGGCTTTGTGTATATCAAGTATTATTATAAATTTAAAACTCATCCTGCTCCCATCCATTCTTCACTGTTAAATTTCTTTCTCACCTGAAACTTTACTCCTGTGAAGAGAATATAGAACAGTCGGGGTTGGAAGGGGTTGGAAGGGACCTTAAAGATCATCCAGTTTTACCCCCCTGCCATGGACAGGGACACCTTCCACTATCCCAGGTTGCTCCAAGCCTCGTGTAACCTGGCCTTGAACACTTCCAGTGATGGGGCAGCCACAGCTTCTCTGGGCAACCTGTGCCAGTGCCTCACCACCCTCACAGGGAAGAACTTCTTCTATAAATGAATATAAAAGAGTATAGTAATAAGGACACTGCAATGAACACAGAGAAGTGAATAGTGAATTTTCTTGTGTGCATTTCTATGTAATGATGCTCAGTCAACACTTAATGTTACTGACAGATGGAAT